CACAAAAGAGGTTAGCGATCGTAAGTCAACTCTAGTTAAATTCTCATTTAAATTTATATCTTTTAAAAAAATCATTATGATGCTAAACATATTAGTAGTGGCGTTTTCTCAGGTATTCTATATTTTATATGTTTTTTAATTCAAATAAACTAATAATAGTTGTTGCACTGCTTACTAAACCGCGAAACAGTGCAGTTAATGGAACTCGATCGCTTCGGTATTCCCTTCAGAACATTGAAGTTTAGATTAGATAGACTTCGTCGAAATTCTAGCTCAGTTGGACAGACAAAGCCATCTCTTGCTTGAGATCGAGGAAGAAGTACTTTCCTCCTCTTCTTCCTCTCGGTGTTGCCCTACGACGTCGTGTTTCCCGTGTACCGTCGACCGTACGTGATAACACCTTCATGCCGTAGGTGTGGCTGCTCATCACCATCGATCGCCATTGCAGGTGCAGGAGAAGGCAAGAGTGGATGCCGAGCTTGAGAGGAGGATAGCCTTGTAGAGTTCTGCAAAGGTCGACAATTTGAGCTCTCTCTCCCTTCCTGTCACTTGTTTCTCGTTCATATTAATGACTTCTTTTTTGTTCCTGCTGCATGTAATACTTGAATGTGTGCGTAAAGAAAGGATACATACTACTTAGAAAGCTAGCTCTATCATGAGTTTTTCCTTAATTCTACAATTTAGAGTGCAGAGAGAAACATTGGAAAGGTCGTCGCTCTTCATTTGAAATGGAACCAAAGAGAAGAAGATGGCAACACAGATCTACGCTTGGGTTATTCTCCTTACTTCAGCATGATGATTTTGGAGAGAATTTAGTTACTAGATTCTACAGGTATAATTTTGTCTCAAATCTTTTGCTGGATTTTAGATTTTATTTGTGTAAATTAAATAGAAAAAGGCAAATCCGCACACACATGCATAGAGATTAGACAGGACAAAACAAATCATATATAAGCAATGCACCGAGTCCTAATTGACCCAATCGAAAGCCAAATCCATAGTAACCTGCCTAATTACCATCCCTATCGGGTTACTGTTTGTTACGATCCGATTGAATCCGGTTTACCTTCGACCTGATCCGATGTCAGCCCGATCTGAAACCAACCCGATCTAAAACATCTAATCACAAGAATTGTACTTGTTCGGACAGTGCCGGACCACTGGGCGTTAACATGAGAAACCAATAACGAACCCCCGTCGGTTCAATTTGGTAATTGGATCGGAATCACAACAGATTTCTGACGAACCGGAAAAGCGGGCCGGCTGAAGCCATAAAACTTATCGAATCTGCCCTTGTTCGGGAAGCCGAGACCAGCCCTAAGCCCTCTTCTCGTCGTCGGCGACGCCGCAGTCAGTTACATCGGCGGCCTCGAAACTCGACCAGGTGCCACTTGTTGCAGGAGTCGGCTCATCTTCTGCAGTGTGTTCCGAGAGTCTCTCCTCTAAAAGCGATTCCGTGTTCCTATCCCACCCGTGCTAGGCTGTGGCGCATCACCTGTGTCTTTGGGAAGGACGGTAAGAAGCTGCACTGCTAGTCCCAAGAGTCGTTCCTTAGTTGACACAATAATCGTCCTTTTTTTTGTCTGTAACTCAATGCTGCTGTTTGTTTGTGGGTTGCATTGATGTCATTTGAAGACGTTAATCTACTTTTTCCTTTGGATAATTCTTGATTCTCTTTGTTGGCGTATAAAAGCTAAATAAATTCCATTTTTCACCGATACCGGATACATTTAGAGATTTTTCGAGGTGCTTTGAAGCTTATTGCACCTTTCACTACACAAAATCCTACTAAAAATTCTATCTTGGTCTGTATTCTTTGTAGCATTAGACAAAATATTGTGGGTTTTTTACAACTTATTGTTTGAATCTCAATCCCGGTTCCTCGTATAGATTCCAGCTTTGGAGAAAGCATTTTAGCTGATTAGCCGTTGATGCTTTCTGTCCGCCTCTTCCTTTCTTAACAATTTCTAAGAAAACCGCATCTCAAGTTTTCTCCTTTCTTTAACCATTCTAACAAGGTCGTATCCCTAATCATCTTTGCTTAGCAGATTAAGGATCAAAATGGATGGGGAAGAGCTTACTGCACAACAAACAGCCCTATATGACCGCCAAATTCGAGTCTGGGGGGTTGATGCTCAGAAAAGGTAGTTTGAGTAATTTCCTGTTTTCTTAAGTATTAATTATATGGTCTCTCTTTTGTTAATTTGATGTTTTTTACTCTTCTTGGTTTGATATCTTTTTTTTTTGTTTCAAAAAAGGTTAAGCAAGGCTCAGATACTCGTCAGTGGATTGAATGGCACATCGGTTGAGGTAATCCAGTTCTTTTGTGATTTTATTAAAATTTAGTCCTGACTTCGCAATTATCATTGAAAAGATTGTTGGATTATGTGTCCTCTTGTCACATGGATTTGTCATTGATGTGCCACAATATGGATGAATAGTTATGTTCTTTTATTCTAGTTCAATTGCCAACATTTATAGTCTGGGTTTCAGCTTGTTGCTTATTTTGTTTTCAGAAGCTTTGATCAATTATAGTCTAGTTAAGGCTTTCATGCAAATGCATGAACTCTAATCGGAAAATTAGTTTGCAGAATGCATGTACTCTGTACTGGTTGAATCATTTATAGTCCAGTTAAGGGTTTACTTCAAGCAAACACAAGAACTCGAATGGAAAAGTTGGTTTGGAGAATGTGTGTACTCTGTACAGTTAAGTTTTGGATATATGATTCATAACTTTGTTGTGAAAATGGATTAAATGTAGAGCTCATTATGATAGCTAAATACAGATAATCTTAGTTTCTCAAAGGAATGCTACCTGAGAAACTTCAAGTACTCTTGGATTTTGGATATGTTAATATGGGATTACAAGAAGAATGTTGGATAAGACAACACTTTTTTAAGGGGATTAGATTATAATACACATTGGAACATAGTTGTTTCTTGTATTTTTAACATTTTTGAAATAAATGTAATTTTTCCAGTAATATATTGTTAATATTCACAGACCATGTGCTCAATTCTCTTAAATAATTTTTTTTACTCTGTTCAGTATATTTATTAATAGGCATGTATATTATAGGTTTTCAAAATAAAACTCACATAGGGGTTTGAAACTAATGTCCCACTGTAGTAACTAGATATGACATTAATTAAGTTAAAAAGTGTAGTACTAATGTGCCATACGAGCCAAGAGTAGTCGATTAGAGCAACAGCTGAAAGTTCTACTTTATCTGTGTGAGTTTTCCTATATGAAGGTACTTCTGCGGCTACATACTTGCTCTTACAGTTTCTATGAATATTCAATAATTTGTGATAGCTAGATTGCTGAAAGTAACTCGGTAGCTAGATTGTTGAATTCCATGTTAATCATCTGTCAAGACTTTTAAAATAGTTGTTATTGGAGGTCAAGTTGGAAGCATCTATATTTACCACTCACACAAGTTCTTTTCTCTTTTGGTTAGTTCTGCAAGAATATTGTTCTAGCAGGAGTAGGGAGTTTGACACTGATGGATGATCGTTTAGTGACAGAGGATGCACTTCAAGCTAATTTCTTGATTCCACGGGATGAGACTGTATATAGTGGTAGATCCCTTTCTGAACTATGTTGTGAATCTTTAAGAGATTTCAACCCTATGGTCCGTGTTTTAGCAGAAAAAGGTGATTCCCATAATTCTTATCATTTCCAATTATGAATGCTTATTCTTTGGTGAAATCTCCAGCTTTTGCCAGATAAAACATATTGGTTGAGATGTGTGTTGGTTGTTGAGTTTGTAGCATGTCAGCAAAACTTTTTTTATATGCTTGCAACATTTTGATTTCACAGATATAGCTATTTCTGTGCTGTCATGATATAGAGTATGACAATTTCAGATGTTAATATATGTAAATTCAATAATATCATGTTTTGCAAACCAAAGTTTGATTTAAGGATATTTAGGATTGATCAATCAATACTATGATCTAACTTATCTTGCTTGTTATATATGAAGGTTCCATTTATCAGAATTTGGGTCCTTTGTGTCTATATCTGTGGAATGTTTGTGTCATCACTCAGTCAATATGGCAATGTAGGATCACATAAGTTTGAGATATGGCGATTATCCCAAAATAAGATTTAGAAAAATCAGTATATGGATTGTCTGTCCCAGACAAAAAGGCAATCCAGATCTCCTGTATAAAAATGAGGTTTTGGATTGGAGCATCAAGGTTCTGGTTAAATTTATTTTTCAAAAAAAAGTTGGCAAATTAGAAAGATATGAATTATATGTCATGTTATTCAAATAATTTAAACCATAAAAAGATTAAGAGATATAAAAAAAACTTAAGAAGTAAAAAGATCAACAAGAATACTGATTGGTCAAAAGATAGGAAAAGGAATTATTATAATATATGTATCTTGTAAATGCACCTGTTAAGACTTTAAGATGACCCTGACTTTAAGGTAATGTACCTAGCCTAATGCCCAAGTGGCAAAACCACGTACAAGGTAAACTGATTAATTATATCAGTAAAGGTTTGACTCACATTCTTTAGCAAGTTATTATATATGTATGCTTTGAAGGTGTCTTGGCACCTTGATAAATTTGCTCTATTGAGACCTGGGTGTCGAATTTTGAGCTATATGAAACTACTACTTTTCATGTAGGGATAAGTTGACATACATATTACCTTTCTTATGCCTGGTATGATGGAAATTCTGTGCACAGGGCTATCTTCCAATACATATTCCCATTTATGGAATCTTGCATGATTGAATTAGTGTCCATATATTCTACAGGTGAACATCAGATAGGTCTCATTAGGTTCATGTACTGTTATAGTGGTCAATTATATTTCAATGGGATTTAATATCTGTGCATGTTAACATGAATAGTTAGGTCTGTGGAATTAAATTTTGCAGGTTTTTGATATGTAGGAAGCAGAATATTTTTCTAAAATATGATGCTTTTCTTGGTTGGAGTACAAAGAGATATTGGTGGGCACAATGAACAGCTTTGGTTTATTAAACACATCTTGGCTATGGTAGTATAATACAATACAAGACATTGTATTTAGATTATAATTCGTTTATACAAACATGTGCCCTCTAGACTGACATATGATTTATAATTCATACTGCATCATTATCTATTTTTCTTTGAACTCTTTGTACAATTATAAGGAGTTTGGAATGTAATATCGTATCTGAACATTGTCTTCTACAGGTGATTTGGCACAATGTGAAATGGAGTTTCTTGACAAGTTTGATGTTGTAGTTGTTACTGGCTGTTCACTCAAAACTAAGGTACTGAATGACACTTGATATAAAGCCTATCTAATTGAGCTATGCTTATAGATATTTCCATTAAATTTAATTATTTGATATTCTAGATCTGCTTCGTATTTCTGTAACTAATAATGTAGTAATTCTGTGTTTCACATGTGCTTTGTACTTGCATTCACCTATGTTGTCTTTGATCTGTTAATTCTTTGATTATTTCTTCCCCAGATAGAAATCAATGAGAAATGTCGTAAAAGAGCCAAGCGAATTGCATTTTATGCAATTGAATGCCGAGATTCCTGTGGTGAAATTTTTGTTGACCTGCAGAACTACACCTATGCACAGGTGCAGTTGTTGATATTAGCAATGTCATCAGTATCAATTATATTAAGCTGATTATGCATTGTGCTATTTTGGACAAATGATTGCAATCATAGTCTGCACAACGCCTTCCTTTCCTTAAGTATTGTGTCTTGAAATATACTGCCATTTGTTTTTGGGTGTTTTATGTAGCTCATTAATTGGTCACAGTTATATGCTTTCCTTTTTTGCTAGTCTTTTAATTTATGTTAAGAATTTCTTGTCATGTTGACAGTTATTAGTGGCTCATTTAGTACGATTGTATGTCTGGCCTGTTTTATATACACTTCTAATATGGGAGTTGATATGACTAATTTCTTTAGTTTGATAGGAATTCTTCCTTTATTTGTTGCATGCTTGTATGCTAGTCATTAATAGAACTCTGCTGTGGTATCACATTCTGATATGTTATGAAAGTTTCTATTCATTTTAGACAGACAGCTGGTTATTTGATATGATTTACTCTAGACAACAGACATCACAGAATTTCAGCAAAATGTTGTCCCTTTTTAATCTAATACTAGCTGGTTAAGAGTAGTGTCATGCAAGGATTTAAATTCTGGTATACCTCGGTATGTACTGGCTATTATTTAACATCTGACCAAGTACCAGAATTGGAATGCATAGCTCAATACAGGTACATATATGTTTATCTGTATTTTTTTATTATTTTATTCAGTGATATTGGGTGGTACAGGTTGGTATATATACTGCTATCCACCAATCTAATAGATTACTGAAACTTGTAATGAATTGGTATTTTAAATCCTTCGTGCTATCTTAATCAATATATTTCAGAAAAGCAATCTATCTAACAACGAAAAAAGGCATACACAGTTTATGAGGCTCCCCCAATTGCGGAGTTTGGGGAGGATCAACGTACTCTGCCTTACCTTTAAATATTTAAAGAGACTTTATCTGTTACTTGAATCTTGGTCTCCTAGGTCGTAAAGGAGTAACCTTATTGATGTACCAAGGCCCACCCTCAGCTATCTAACAACTGCATGCATGATTTTTTAATGTTCCATTTACCTGAGAATATGAGTGTGAAGATTATGATTACCACTGAATTTCCACAATATAATTAGTGTGTACTATGTTTACTGCTAGTTTAGCTGCCAAAAGGATCCATGTTTGGGTTTGTAAGTGACACAAAAGCAAGATTTCATGACTGCTAGGTTGTGCTGGATTCCAACCTGAAAACTAATGCAATTGAAATGTAGTTCTATAACACTGCATTTATTATCGTTGCCTAGAATCCTAGGCTACTTTTTAGCCACTGTATATGACCATGGATCTATTAAGTGTATTTTTCTGCACTTTTCTTTACCCTTCGTATCTACATGTGCAATAGACAGGGTGCAGGCAAATAAATAGGGGAAGATGGATAGTAAATGATAAACTGGGGAGAAGACACACCAAGTCCATCAATCAATTAAATTATAGATTTGTTGTATTAACTCAAGACCAATTTTAACTCGCTCCATGATCTGTGAGGCATAGATCTTGACTAGACCTACCTAGTTTGTGGGAGAGGCTTTCTTTTGAGTAGTTTGCAATTTTATAAAATTTCTTATGGGAATGCATCTAGAACTCCCCAAACTTGTATACTGTTGTTGAGTAGAAAACCTTAGCATCATTGTTTTATTCTAAAGGAAAACTAAACTAAACTTAGTGTAATGGACAAGTACACGACCGTTCGCATCACAGCGAATAAAAAAAATCAAGTTTCGAAGGCCAACCTTTGGTCCAAAAATTACATGATTTGGTTGTACGGGCATACGTCGCCAACCAATTAGCTACACTGATCCCCTTTCTAAAAACCCTCCCCAAAAACATGGGAGAATTTACATTCAACAAAACAAATAGTCAATCCTTAAATTTTCTTGACCAAAGTCAATATACTCCAGGATGGAGGAATATCTTCAGTAAAATATCCACTAGGATTCTTAACATCGATATCACTAAAAAATAGGACGTCAAAAACCACCTAAACTATCCACTTAAATCAATAACAAGCCTCCATAAATACCTCAAAAATTGTAAAATATACATGTGACCCAAGTCTGAGTTGACTAGTAATGAGATTCATTGGGCTCTTATTCAAATCCATCATACATCAGATTACTATCTTTAATGGACCTTACATTTTAGACCTTCATTCCCACATAAGATTGGTTTGAATGAATGCTCCATGAGTTGGTGTCACAGGTCAGTGCTAATGTTGCATACAAATAATTTGACCTGGTATGTGCCTGTGCTTCAAAAGAAATTTGAAGGTCATTAACATCTTTTTATGACGATGTTTTTCCCTCATGGATAGATCAATCAAGACTGGTCTATGAATGGATGTGATTGTCAAAAAAACTTGCTGCATGATCAATGAATCCTCTTTTAATTCTCCTTTAGATGATCGATCTTACATTATGATCTTTGTGCTCTTCGTTAATTGATTTGCTTCTTTAACCTTTTCAGCCTGTTCCACTGTTTCTTTTGATGGCCTTCAAATGCTGGCGCTTGTGATTTGGCTTATTAAGTTATCTAGAAATGACACTTCTCATTATTTTTTCGGCAGAAAAAGTCTGATGGTACTGCTGAATGTCATTTGAGTTATCCAAGTCTTGAGGTACATCTTTTAAGTGGTATTAAATATTATTTGTGATGTATTCCAATAGCTGCATCTTTGTTTTGGATAATGTAATTAAAGCCATGTTTCTTGATGTTTAGCTTCTTTTGACATCAGATCTAGTGTAGTTTACTTGTTGCTTTATGGAATTGCATACTCTTCAATTATTGCCAAAAACCATAAATATTTTAAAACCAAAGTATGACAGAAACACCATAGTGTGTAGCACAACGAATTTATTGTCCATTGTGGTGATAAAATGCAACTTTTGGAGGTTCTCTTGTATATTGCATTTATCTATTGATGTACGCCTTTGCAAGTAGCTTTTCTGAGTTTTGTCCAACCTTATATGGTTAATCTTTATGAGAGAATTGTGTTGAGTATCAAATTCATATTTAGAATTTGTGGGTTAGGATGCAACTTGGTGATTGCATAAGATGTCACTTATATTAACACAAGTTGTAAATCTATGTTCGACCCATATATATATATATATATATATATATATATATATATATATACCTGATCGTAAAATTTTTTTTCCTGGGCCTAACACAGTTCTTCGGTCATTAAATTCTTTTTACAAGATTAGAATCTTAGTTTTGTTATTGGTTATTCTATATAGATAATGACACTAAAACTTGGTCAAATGTCCTCTGCCTCCGGATTCAGTGGACAAGTTTCATTTGCAATTATCATCTCTATTGCAGGATGCAATTTTAATACCATGGAGGAATCTTCCTAGGAAAGTGAGCAAATTGTACTTTGCTATGAGAGGTTTGTAAGAAAACATACTGAAGCAATTTCTTTAAAAAAGTCTTTATTTTCCCCCCTTTTGCTATGCCCTCCATGGTTAACTCGTAATGCATGACGTTAATTATTTTTCATGCAGTAATAGAGAAGTTTGAATTATCCGAAGGACGTAATCCTGGTGAATTGTCTAATTTTGATCTTCCTGCTGTTTTGAAGCAGAGGAAAGAGCTATGTGATGCTCAGGTAACCTGGATATTTCATAGCTAAGCATATATTATATTTGTGCATGCATGTGATGTCTTCTTTACCCAATTCTTTTTCAGTCCTTGAATGAGTCACATGTTCCTGAAACACTTCTGGAAAGGATACTAGTTGCTGGGCCAATGTTATATCCACCTGTATGCCCGATACTTGGTGGAATTCTTGGTCAGGTGTGTAAAATTTTATTTAAAGTCTATTATTCATGAATCTTCTTTTCTAATGTATGGATTTACCTTGCAACGTATATTTGTTTTCACTATAATAAGTGTCATCCAAGATAACTGAAAAATGCTCGAATCCAACATGAGGCTTCTGCCAATGTGAGATCTAAGTGGGGTCTATATTACCTTATATTTAAAAATATAGAAGCTATTTTCATGACTCGAATTATGATCACTCAGGTTGCAAGGGAACAACCTCTTCCTTTGTCATGTAATCTCTCTTTTTCTGTCTGCTTCTTTTCTTATGCTAGTAAATTAGGTGGGCCCTAACCCTTGATTATTTCAGAGAAACCAGGACGCAATACATAGTTTCATATTTCAATGACTATCAAAATTTTCAGTATTTACAAGAATAAATGAAGTTGTCCTTAACTTTCTGACTCATCTTGTATGTTGAATTTGGGCCGAAAGTTGAAGGCTACTGTCTATATCTCTAACCTATGATGCAAGCCCAACCTGATGCGACCTACTTTGGGATAAATTGCTAGCTTGTTTACTTTGATTAGTGTACATTAATTCTTTTCTATGTTATTTAAGTATTCGTATACGAGATGGATTATTATCATATGCGGTGCTGTATAGCTATTTCACGTGTTTTTTCTCTGCATTAAATAAATCAAAGAGTAGAGCCTAGTAAACTAAGAATCTCTCATGATTTGTAGTCACCATATGCAAGCTAAAGTTGTTGCTTCATTCTACCAGGAAGTGATCAAGGCAATATCTGGCAAAGGTGACCCACTCAAAAATTTCTTCTACTTCGATGCTGCTGATGGAAAGGGAGTGATCGAGGATATCTCCAACCCCTCCTCGATCTGATATCCTCTAAGACAGAAGATTGGTTGTCGTGTTAATTTGAAGTCCTAATGCTCCAATGTACTAGTCATATGTCATGTGACTTGGAGTTCTCTTTTCCAAATTTCACTGTTTTTTCCAAATGTCATGCGCCAAGTGCATATGATAATCCTGTACACTGATGGTATTAGACTGATGTATCTGTTGTTTCTGTGCTATGTCGATTTTGCTCGAATCTTAAGGTATGTTGTCAGTAGAATTTGCCACCGATCTCAAGAAAGAGATACATACAGGCTCCATAAAAGTTCTTTGTAAGGTCTACACAATGCAAAATTGATGAGAGTCTCGTTCGCTGATCTCCACACCGACATGGCCACGGTGGTTGGGATTAGATATCCTTAATCTAAATTGCTACTAGTATTGACATCATGTATCCGAAATAAAGGGAACAAATAAAGCTGAACAGCCCCTTATAGCCTCTAATCCCAAATTCAAAACTTCAAACGTGGGTTAGGGGACAGTTCATCTCCTTCCACATTTGTAGGACTTACAAGTCCTCGACTCCATCCCAATACCCTCAACCCCACGCTGCCGCTGAAGGACAACCGGTCTCTCTGATCTCAACCATGGCAACGTTGCAACGGGATCACGAAAGGCAGCAACAGGAGGACGAGGACCATCTCTACAGGCGATTCCAACACCTCCAACACGATTGGAATTCCTACAGGCAGTCCACCGCCCGCCGTCGTCGCAGCTGCTCCGCCACCGACGTGTCCACCTTCACCTCCGCGAACCTTCTCGAGCTCATCCACGACTCACCGAAGAAGCTCGTCTCTGCCCTGCAGCAACCTCGGCCTCCTTGGGAGTCGGCGAAGCCTAACGGTGTTGTTGGCCGGGCGGTGGAGGAGATCGTGGCCGAGAGGCATGCGGCAATGCGGAGCGGCAAGCTAAGGGGGCGGAAGTTGTTGGAGGCGTTGGAGCGTGCGAAGGACGAAGCGGGCTTGCATGGAGGACAGGAGATATGCAGCGTCTGCTCTTCTGTGCTCGTCCAGGGTGCCGAAGTCGACTCCTCGTCCTCCTACTGCTCGTCATGCATCGGTGAATGCAGCTATCTTCAAAACGAGGAGTGCATGTCTTCTTCCTCTTTGTCGTCTTCTCCTCCACCATCTTCTTTGGAGAATACGAAGAAGAAGAGGGTGGGAAGAGTTAGAAGACAAGTTGCCGGTGGCGATCATGGAGGTAAGTGGATGGCTAGGGTTGCTGTGTTCGCAGTTATCGCTATGGTTTTGGCAGTCGCTCTCATCTCGCTGAGTGAGTTTGGCATGGAGGAGCGTGGAGATTTCATGATCCCAACATGAGCTTTACGTGGGCGCTGATTGAACCAATTCCCTTGTAAGGTTCCAAGTCACATGAGTTAGCCTTCCGAGGATAATGACCATGGGGATGAGGGACTGTCTTGGCCTTCATCTACATTACAATTCCCTTGTAGGTTTAGTTTTGCCGTCGTACGCATGAGGCACTGTGTTTCATGATCGTCTCATGATGTGTTAATATGCAACACCACTAGAACAAGCATCCCTCCTCCGTAAGTAATTCTCCTATGGTAATGGTCGCCTTGCTTAGAAGGTGATTTTTCCCTATTTGAATGCATTAATTTTGTGGATTGCTAGTGGTTTGCTATTGGAGACCCGTATGAGTTATTTTTGTATTTAAAAATAAAAACATTTTATTCTACTGCTGTAGAAAGAATTAAGAGGATCAGAGTTTGTACAAACAAATCATCCGGGAAATCAGATAGATCCCAGGATTGACAATGAGCCATATGACTAAGCATTCGAGGAACATTGTATCTAACTTTAATCTTAGGGAGTTGATATCATGCAAAGTAGTGTGGTTGGACCATGGACATGACTCATGTTTTGATGATCGATTTGAGTTTGACGAGATGCAAGGATAAGAAAGGTCTACGTTGGCATCTTTTGTCGGTTCACAATAAAACCAATGAAGCAACGTTGCATTTGGAACCAATTCCATTCTTTTAATTCCTAGCTTCTTTTGATCCCTATTGCGAATGAGGAAGTTTAGAAATTGCTATGGTGCATTTTTGTTATTCCCAGTGTTCTTTGATTATGTTGGAAATGGCTACCTACATAACCGTTCACAAACTTCTGCTAGACTTTCTATCTTTGGCACCATCGATACTCCTTGTTGTTACTTTTGTGATCAATTTACCGATGACTAGAATCATACAAATTTTTTTTTAACTATTCTTTCTTCAAAACCTAATGGTCATTTTATTTTATGAGAATCGTTTGCACTTTTCACTTGTATATGTAAGTGAATGGTGGAACATTTCTTGGCTTAAAGAAGGGGATAAACTCCTATAAGTAGTGGATTTCTTATCAAATCTCTTATTGCTCATAGCTTATGGTTGATTTGAATGAGAATATGAATGATATCATCGTATGGAGCTATTGGCTCTGTGATGAATTCTATGACCTCTCATCTTTCTGAAGGGATTAGCAAGTTACCATGCCAAAGTAGTATCCAATAGAAAAATCGAACTATGTTAGGATCAAATTAAATACTCATGGTGCCTATAATATAATGCTAAAAGAGCGGAATTATTTTTTAATTAAGACTAAGAGACCATAAAAACCAGTGTATATTATTAACATGATGTAAATATGTGGCTAAGGGATGAAGCTTCTCCACTGAACTATTGCTACTATTTATGAACATGCAATATCAGAAGACACCAATTATATTACGATTGAAGTAGATAATAAAATTTTGATTAAAGTATTGAAAAAAGAGAAGGAACTTTCATGACAATTTACCAATGTATTTCGTAACTTTTTTTTATTGTTTTAGAAATTTCTCATGAAAGAAAATAAGCGTTCATTGATTTGTCACACGTGGCAAGGCCTTTGGATTAAATCAGTTATCACGTGTGAATCGGTCACCTAATTTGGATTCCATTGTATTAGATTCCTTTAATTATTTTAATTTATTTGAAGGACAAAAAGAGAAACGAACGGTGATTGATATAGACGATGATAGCCTTTAACACATATCACTGCATATGGGACTAATCTTCAGCCTTTTTTTGCTTTTCTCCATCTCATACACATCAATAGAAATCCCGAGAGAAGTCTTCATGTCACATGTGGGAGAAGTCTTCATGTTCCATGTGGAAAGATTTCCACACAAGAGAATAAGAATAATAATCTTTCCATGGTTTATAAAACTCCCATATATGCCTTTTTCATCCCTCATAAAAGAAAACAAGAATTGAGAAAAGTCATCGAAACCTTCAGCACTTCAAGTCCCAAGCTCTCAACGTTGATGGAAGATGATAATAAAAATACATATATAATATCTCTGTTTTTAGAATCAATCTATAATTCAAGGATCAATCACAGGTTTTAGTAACTGAACTGATTATATGATTTGAGTTATTGATTAAGAAAAATCTTTCCCTTAAAACCTATCATCTCAACGAACAAAAATCATTCCTTTCGCAATATATCATATCAGAGCGAGCAAGAGTTTTCTATTCTCGCTATCCGATGATAGCATCCCTCTGTTGACCTGCCACTGATTTGTCGGTGACGACAAGACTTTTCCACTGATCTGTCGTTACCGGTTTCCCCCTCTGCTTGAAGCCAACGGACTTCATGCTGGCAGACTTCATCCTTGCCGGACTTCTCTACTCTCCCCCCCTTCTTCCTCACCGTCCCACGAGGACTTGGACCGTGAGCTCTTGATCCAACGCCATCAGGTTATCGTCTCTATGGCGTCAGACATCAACCTACCCCTCCTTGCTATCTTCCCGAGTGCCACCACTGCACTAAGTGCCACTGATCATCGACCACCGGTGATCTCCACCAAGCGACCGCTCCTCCTCCCGGCGAACACCAGCCATCACCGTTCTATGTTCTTCCTAACCGGTGAAGCGCTCTCTTCCCGAGTGCCCACCTCTACATCAAGCGCCGCTGATCACCGACCGTTGCTACTCTGCCAGCGGACCCCAGTCGCCCCTCTACCTTCTCTCGCACCTACGCGTCTGCCGGCGGACCCCACAGTGGTCGCCCCTACCCTCCTCTCGACGAATACCAGCCATCGCCGTTGCTACTCTACCGGCAGACCCCAGTCGCCCCTACCCTTCTCTCATGTCCGCACGTCTACCAACGGACCCATAGTGGTCGCCCCTCCGCTCGCGTCGACGCGCTTTCTCTCGTGTCGTGCGTCTGCCGATGGACCCGCTGTGTTCTTGCCACATTTAACATCTGACATCCGACGTTGGTTCTTCTTCGTCCTCTTTACCCCTCAGATCACTCGACGTTCCAAGAATTGAAATCTCCGAAGGGTCCCATCATCAACCGCGAACCTTTCTGTGCTTCTATCGTGGCCTTTCTCCGTAGTTTCAGCGTGATTCCTTGTTAGAACCCTTTTTCTGAGCTTTTGAATAATGTTTATGAGTCTGTTTAGTCCAGTTGTTTATTGAGTCGGTTTGATTCAGTTAGAATCAAGTAGAGATTTATTTAATATTTATTTATTATTAGAGTTCATGTTCTGATGGACTTTGTGTGGAACTCTATAAATAGGGATGTAACTGCTTCTTTTCAGTAAGCTATGAAAAATACTATTCTGTCTTTTGACAAACCCTAGGAGGCCGATCCCCTCGAAGTGATCATTATCATCCCCTTTCTCTTCTTTCTTCCACGATAAGACTTTAGGGTCTTATCATTTGGTATCAGAGCCTACGATAAGACTTTAGAGGGTCTTATCATTTGGTATCAGAGCAGCGATCCGA